ACAAATTCATCAAGTATTTGATGGTTAGTTGTCTCCACAAGTTTCATATTGCATTTATGTATTTATTATCATAACAATTATTCATTGCGTAAAACTAGATAAGAGAGGAAAAGTACAAAATGTCACAAATAGCTGAGTCTTTTTTGGATGAATTTAAAGGCTAAAATCGGAACCAGTAGCTGGGGTAATTGTTATATTGCTGCATAGTCGGCTGCAGTTGGAGACCCAGACCCAATGGCTTAAAACTCACATCAGGTGCATGTGTGTTTTAATGCATGTGTGTGCATTCCCAAAATCCTGATAGGAGAATGGAGGAGAAGGGATTGCAGCATGGCCAACCCCAGGTGGGGAGATGGGAGGGGGCAGTGATTTCTCACTTTCTGTCTCTCTGTCTCTCTCTGTCTCTCCAGTAAGCGCATGTATCCTATAGCAAAAGTCTCTCTCTCTCTATTTTTTTTTTTGGAGAGATTTTTGCTACAGGGCACATGCACTCGTGCACGCGCCAGAAAGACAGAGAGAGACAGAGAGACAGAAAGTGAGAAATCACCCCCCCCCAAGGGGGACGGCCATGCCTCAATCCCTTCTCCTCCGTTCTCCTCTCAGGATCTTAGGCACACATGCACATGTACCCAAAGTGAGTTTAAGCCACCAGGTCCAGGACTCGAACTGCAGTCGACTACATGGGAGTCCAGTGACATAGCCATTACTCCAATTGCTGGTCCCATAGCAAAAATCTCTCTTAAAAAATTTAAAAAATAATAATAAAATAAAGAAGGCTAAAATAAAAAACTTTGTAAAACCTATAAATCAACCAAATCACTGAATTTATCATATCTTCACTTTTAAATATATCTTTCTAATTTTGTTTTGGTTTTGCTTTTTGAGGATTTATTTGTTTTTCTTTTTCTTTTTTTTTTTTTCGCTATAGGGCGCATGCGCTCTCCAGACAGAGAGAGACAGAGAGGCAGAAAGCGAGAAATCACCCCCCGGGGGGATGGTCACGCCGCAATTCCGTCTCCTCCATTCTCCTCTCGTTTGAGCATGTACGCACACGCACCTGGCTTGAATTTTAAGCCACTGGGTCCGGGACGTGAACCGTGGTCGACTACGTGGGAGTCCAGCAACATAGCCATTATGCTAACTGCTGGATCCCGAGGATTGATTTCTTTATGCACAGTATGGTACTGTAGTCTTACGAGAACTCACAGTGAGTAAAAGTTTTCTTTTTCCATCTCTACCTAATGAGCTATTATTATGTACAATTTTATCTCTAACTGAACGAATAGTTGGCATCATAGATCTTTTCAGACTTCATACTTTCATGTCTCACATACTCAACATGAAACTTTTCTTTCATTGACTACATTAATATTATCTTTATTTTCAAAAATCCATCCTTGTTAATTTATGAGACTTCTTATTATCTGATATTTAATCACTTTGCTTTTCTTTAGAACTGCATTTCACAGTAAAGAACCTCTTTGACAATTCAATATACATTTCTAAAATAATCAGTAGAATTTCAAATTTATACAATATAATGTAATGTTAGATGGTGAAGGTGATGAATATGTTTATATCTTTTATTTATTTATTACACACCATATATATACTTTTAAAACACATACTGTACCTAGCAAAGATGAATTATGATTTTATGTAAATCATAAATTATAATAAATTAATTTTAAAAAGAATTGATTAACCTATCTATTTTCTGTGCTTTTCCAAACCTAATGGATAATTATTCATTATTTGTGATATCAGCAGACCAGTTTTAAAAAATAGATTAATGTATCTCAAACAAGACTTCATCAGCAAGTGGTATGGTGGTTAAGGCACTGGACTCCCACATGGTCAAAAATGGTTCTTGTCCTGGACCCTGCAGTTTGAAAAATATGCCAAGTGCATGTGTGTGCATGTCCAAAATCACAAGAGAAGAATGGAGGGAAAAGGAGTGTATCGTGGCCTTCTCCCTTGGCGGTAATTTCTCACTTTTCCTCTCTCAGTTTTCCTCTGGTAAATGTATAAGCCCTATGGCAAAAACCTATTAAAAATTAAAAATAAATAAAAATACATTAAATATATAGGAAAATTTGTACAAAGTGCACCAAAGAGGAAGGAAGCAATAACCAAACTAAGTAAATTTTCTTTTCTTTTTATTTATTTTTTCACAAGCAAAAGAAAAAGACAGGTATTTTCAAAAGAGTCTGATGCCATGATACTCTCCTCAGCCTTTAAAGTTAGCCAAGATCATAGTTATGTATATACACGAGTAATTGTACAGGTTAACCCTGGAACCATTGTTATTTTCCATAAGAATCCGGTATTGCTGAGTACTGTACCACTGCTACATCCACAGCTGATCCTGAGCAGATGTTATCTTTAAGAGCATTAGAACAAATTAAAAATAATCTAAGAGCAATATATTAGTTTTGAATATACTATTTCTGGGTGAAATAAGTAATGATTTTAGAAATATATACATATAAAGTAAAATCATCTTGAATTGCCAGAATAGATGTCATAAAGTCCTTAAACTAAGACCCATACACTTTTTTAAATAGGAGACTTTTTCTTTTTTTCCACACACATCCTCTCCAAATAAAATAAAATACGGTTTTACTCATTTTTGTTACGTTAAACCTCTGCTCTTACTAGCTTGATTAGTGTATTTTCACAAAAGATTATAAATAACTAATTTAAATGATAATGATTTCTTTAGACAGGCCTACTGACAGTGGCAAGAAATGAGAACCTATAACCTGAGAAAAGGGAGATACAAACACTATATAATCAAAAATAAGAACTAAAATTTCATGAGACCATTTTAGTGTAGGTAAAAACAATCCTACAGATTTCGATAGTCCTGAGAGAAGCCATGTATGTAGCATAATAGCTCATGTATATAATGATGAAAAGATCCTGAAAAGATTTTCCTTCATCCTAATCCTAAAAGTATTAAATTAATTGTTAGAGTTGAAACTCTTCTTATATAATAGCAATAATAACAATGATAATAATAACAGAAAACTTTCTGTAAAGTGCTTTAATGTTCAGAAAGCACATTCTAAATAATCTGTCTAATATTGATCCCATCTAGTCCATTCCTCTCATGTACAGATAATAAAATTGAAACCCAGAAAAAAACAACTTGCCCAAGGTCTCATTGCTTCTCAATGGCAAGGATCCTAATTTTCTGAATCTAGATTAGTGTTCCTTTCACAAACTATGTTCTATTGTTGAACACAATCTGCTCAAGTGGATAAGAAAAAATGTATATTAGAAATATTTTTTATGCCAAATGGTGTTTTGAATATCCAAGTACTTAAAGATCTCCATGATCATTTAGATAGACTATAACTGTCCAGATTCTAGGTTTTACCCTGTTTTCACCACTTGTGGTAAATGCTATCTGCTTTTGTTTCGATAAGAAATTGGTTTTATCAAAAAATTCAGACAAATAAAAGATTTTGTGAATTTCTAATCTTATAAAAACAAGAAACTAACTCTTTATAAGTATATGAAACAAACCCCTGATTTTAAAAATGTCATTTTGGGACCAGCAATTGGTATAATGGCTATGTCTCTGAACTCCCATGTAGTCACCCACGGTTGAAGTCCTGGACCCGGTGGCTTATACTCTCCCCAGGGGTGTGTGTGTGTGTGTGTGTGTGTGTGTGTGTGTGTGTGCCCAAGATCCCAAGAGGAGAATGGAAGAGAAGGAATTTCAACATGGCCATCCCCCCTGGGGGATGTCTTTTTGGCAAGCACATGTGCCCTATTAACAAAAACTTCTCAAAAAAATGTAATTTTAATAAAATCCAATATATGAAAGTTTTATGCTTCAAATTTTTCCAACAGAAGTGATTTGCATTACAAACAATTTAATCACAGAGATTTTAAAAATAACAATTTTCTACTCTGAATTTTTTTTTTTTTTTTTTGGTTTTACCATAGGGCACATGTGCTTGCCAGATTAGAGACAGTGAGAGAGAAAGTGAGAAATCACCCACTGGGAAGATGGACATCGACATGTCACAATCCCTTCTCCATTCTCCTTTTGTGATTTTGGGCAGCACACACACACACACACACACACACACACACACACACACGCCTGACATGATTTTTAAGCCATTGGGCCCAGGACTCAGACCTTGGTCAGCCACATTGGAAGTCCAGTATCCCAACCACCTGCTGGCCCCTCCACTCTGAATTTATAATTGGATTCAATTCACCAATGTTCCCTTTAAACATAATTTTATTTCTGAGAAATGAAATCCAAATAGAGTTTAGTAACTGAAAATAAAACTATGTTGTGTGTGTGTGTGAGAGGAAGACAGATTATCTATTAATCCTTTGATTTAAACATGTCAAGTATGGTTGAGACTTCAATCTAGTAGTGAGCAATCAATCTAGGCAGACCATGCAACAGTTGATTTTTTTTTTTTTTTTATGCAACAGTTGATTTTTTTTTTTTCTATAGGGTGCGTGCACACACTGTAGAGACAGAAAGCGAGAAATCACCCCCCAGGAAGGATGGCCACACCACAATCCCTTCTCCTCCCTTCTCCTCTTGGTACCTTGGGCACGCATGCACACACGCCCGGCGTGAATTTAAGCCAGAGGGTCTGGAACTCAAACCGCGGTTGACTACATGGGAGGTCAGCGACATAGCCATTACGCTAACTGCTGGTCCCTTGATTTTTATTTTTATTTTTTAGAGAGAGATTTTTGTCATAAGGTATGTGCTCTCGCCAAAGAGGCAGAGAGAGACAGAGAAATAGAAAGTGAGAAATCACCCTCCCCTGGGAGGGATGGCCACACCAAAATCCCTTCTCCTCCTTTCTCCTATCAGGACTTTGGGCACGTACCTACACATGGCTGGTGTCAGTTTAAGCCACCAGGTCTGGGACTTGAAACACGGTCGACTACGTGGGAGTTGAGTGACGTAACCATTATGCCATCTGCTGGTCCTAGCAAAAGTTTATTTTAAAGAAGAAATACAACAAAATATTTTCTGAATGAGTGCCAATATATATATATAAAAAATGCACCATATTACACACATGCTTAGATATTCAAGAAAAGAGCATTTATTGTTGATCCTGAAACTAAGTTTGTGAAATATGTTAGAATACAAATTTATTTTGTATTTAAGATGTTTGTGTTGTGTGTGAATTCTGTAATACTTTTGAGACATGTCGAGTTCATCTAAATTGTTTGCTTCCTTAGAGAAAAGTAAAGTGTCAAAGCTATTCCAAGTTATAATGATATTAGTTTTCACTATTCATATTGATATTAAAGTCTTTTGTCTACAATCTACTTACTTCAAATAGTATATACTTTTCTAAATAAAACTAGTGTCATATTGTTCTGATGTACACTTTTCAATGTTAGAAAAATTCATCTATGTCCGCTTCTTTTCAATTTTCATTTTACCTAAAGAAAAGGTGAAAATATCAGACCCGTTGCTGATGAACAGGTTTGCAATTCATTATGCTGCTCATTGCTTTATGATAAAAATGCATTTTCTCCTATGCTTCGTAAAATAGTATCTTTCCACTTATACAGAAAATATAGTTATGAATAATTCCTTCAGAAGGATCATTTTGAGGGTGAAGTAATCATGTTTGGATATTCAACAATATCATTTAAAAAATCTTCATAGTAATATAGCTAAACTGATAGAGCATATAGATCATTATAACTAATTATCTAATTACATTGTCTTAGAATCATCCAAGTATTCAAGTGAGATAGTTTGAAGATCTTCCTTCCTCTGATGAATTTCCTTGCATTTAATACATGAATGAAGAACCAAGCCGCCATGTTCTGAAAATTGATCACGAAATTCTGAAGTCATAAAATAATATAGGACTGGGTCAAGACAACAATTCAAATTTGCAAGACACAGAGAAATGATGTGGAAACACAGAGTGCTCTTAATAAAGGAGCAGTTTGAAAAGACATTTTGCTTCACCAGCATAAACAATGGGAAATTGAGGTGGTAAGGAGTGAAACAAATAACAAATACCACTGCACACATCAGGATCATCCTCAAAGCCTTTTTTCTCTCTTTGGTGTTCTGAGGGGGAACTTGGAATTCCCGTAAAGATTTTCTTGTTTTCCACGTGCAGTAAGTAATAATTACAACAGGTAATACAAACCCTCCAAGTTCTGCTACAGTTACCATGCCAATGGAGGAAGCTATGCCAATATGATGAAGCCCCAAATCAGCAAAGCAGGATTCAGTGTTGTTGGCTAGGCCAGCACTTCTTAGAATGGGCAGTGGCATACAGGCAGTCCCCACGATTACCCAGATGGCAGCACTGATGCCCACATCATACCTACGCTTCCAGTTTCTGGCCCTGAAGGGTTTGAGGAGAAAGAAGCACCTCTGAAGGCTGATGCATGTCAGGAAGCAAATGCTGGCGTACATGTTGAGATACTTCAGGTAGAAGCACAGCAGGCAAAGGGTCCTTTGGAAAGGCCACTGGTGGTTCATGTAATAGTAAATTCGGAGGGGTAAGGAAAGCACATGAGCAAGGTCAGCTACAGACAGGTTGATCATGAAAATGATGGCTTTATTTTTCTTGTTGATGAAACGACACAGAACCCACAAGGCTGCACTGTTGGCCAGAAGACCAGGGATAAATATGAGGATATAGGTGGTTGCATAGAGAGGGTACTGAAATGTCATTTGAAGATCAGTGCACTTTGCTCTTGTACTGTTTGTGCTATTACTTCCCATCTTGAGGATTTATATTCGTTCCTTAAGGAAACCATTAGAGTGATGATTTCTGCAGAAAACAGTAAAAACAGGGTCAAGGGCATATCAGTCCATTTTTGAGTACTTAAAAATATTTATTTCCTACCAAAGAAGTATTCAAATATGAACTTTTATAAATTAAATTCTATGTAAACTGAAAATGTGACATCAATCTACAAATATCAATAGATAATGGTATTAAGGAAGAAACCTTCTGGAATAGAAAAGATTGATATTTTGGCAATAACCTCATTCACATTTTCTTCTTAGTAATAACAAGGAGTCACCAAACTTGTGGAGCTAAAATAGAGGCAGGACCTCACTACAAAATAGCCTCCATGACTCTTATTGGATTCCACATTTTAGTTTTCATAGTTTGGAGTCTTAGGTTTTGATCTTTGATCTATTTTGAGTTGATAATTGCTAGTAGTGAGAGATAAGGGTTCAATTTCATCTTTCTGTAGGTTAGAGACCCAGTTTTTCCAGCACCATTTACCAAAGAGGTTTTTTGTTTTTGTTTTTGATTTCTCTTCTGGAATTGACTGGTGCCTTTTTTTTTTTTTTTTGGACAGGTTTTTGCTATAGATTGCGTGCACTCACCAGAAAGACACAGCGAGATCAAGCGACAGAAACACCCCCCAGGGGGGATGACCATGCCGCAATCCCTTCTCCTCCATTCTCCTCTCGGGATCTTGGGCACGCATGTACACGTGCATGCGCCCAGCATGAGTTTAAGCCACCGGGTCTGTGGTCGACTACATGAGAGTCCAGCAACATATCCATTACACCAACTGCTGGTTCCGACTGGTGCCCTTTGACAGTATTATTTTTTTAACTTTCAAAAAAAGAATTACTTATTTAATTTTATTTATCACCATTATTCTTTTTTAATTAGCTACAGGACATGTGCACTCACCAGAGAGAGATGGGGTGGGGACGGAGAAGAGTGAGAAAGCAAGTCACCAGCTCCAGGACTCAAACTGCAGTTGGCTATATGGGAGTCCAGTGTCTTAAACATCATACCACCTGCTGGACCCTCACATTTCAGTTTTACAGTTGTCTCCATTTACATTTTCAAAGTCAGAGATCTAGCTGAGTTCCCTATCATCAATGCTGTGAGAGATAAAACAATCAATTTTCAAGTGCAACCTCATAAAGGATTAGGTGAGTGATGAGAATCTGTGAACCTTTGTGAATGAAATGTGGAATAGAGGCCTAGACAAGAGTCAACATGTCACTAAGCCTTGGATGAATAGGGACTTGGAAAAGACAGTGCAACTCAAATAACTTTTGCCTCACTGAGTTTGACTGGGGACAAAATTAGTCTTGCTTATGTGTCATGGCATTTTTTAGAAGCTCTTATAACTGAAGTGCACTTTTATTAATACAGTTATGGTAGCTTCAGACATTCATAGTTATTGAGACTATCTTCGCAGCCATTTCTGTCAACTACCAGAGTCTGTGAAAGACTAGAGGATATCTGGCAGTATATAGAACCAAAAGGGACTAACTTTCCTTCAGGTCTTAGGGAAAGTCCGGTGAAGTTATTAATGTGGATGATTACATTTTTAACAATCATAATTGTTATAAAGTTCCTTCTTCTAGTGAGTCAAAATCTGTTGCCTTGGCATTTTACTTGTTCTGTCTGGAAAAGCCAAATAAAAAAAAATTTGCTCCCAGTTACACATGACTTTTCCAATGACCCAATATTCTAATATGTACTATCTAGTACTCAAGTGTGAAAGAAAGAGCACATTTTGCAATAATTCTTTTTTTTTTTTTGGAGAGATTTTCACTGTAGGGCGCGTGCGCTCGCCAGACAGACAGAGAGAGACATAGAGACAGAAAGCGAGAAATCACCCCCCAGGGGGGATGGTCACGCCGCAATCCCTTCTCCTCCATTCTCCTCTCGGGATCTTGGGCACGCACGCACACGCGCCCAGAATACTTGAAAGATGGGTTTCTGAAAAAAATGTAAGGTCTTAGAGAGTATCTACTCAACCTTGAACACAACTATTTAAAATGTAAGAAAATGCAGTCAATTCACACACAACCAAATAACCTATGCAATGCCTTTACATGGAGCTTTCCATGGCTCTAAAGTAGACCATATTTACTGAAATCAAACAACCAGATAATTCAGGTAACAGCTACTTCAATTTTTTTTTTCTGAGTTGACTATTTTGCTGAACTGATCACTTAGTCTAGTAAACTATAACTGGAGCCAACACTACATATTTGTTGCTTATTAGACCACTAAAATAACCAAAATAATTCATCTCATGCTCTATACATTCAGTCTAAACATATAAACTCAAACCAGAACTTGCCTTGTAATAAAATTAAAATAAACAAACAAATAAAATAGTTCATAACATTAGGTCTTCCCTGATCATCTTTGGTTTTGTTATAAAAAAAGCAATTGTCAATCACTGAATGCCTTCTTTGGGGCAGATGTTATACTAATCTCTAATAGTAATTCTAGAAAACAATAAAATATAATCGCTATTTTACAGATGGGAAAACTGAGGCTCCAAGGAAGGCTATAAACTCTTTCCATGAAGCCTTTCCTGATCTCTCCAAAACACAAGTCACTCCTCTGGCCTCAGAGAATCCATAGTTCTGATCACTTTCTATTTTGAGAATACGCTTAGCACACCTAGCATGCTGTGGGTCTTTGTTTTTTAATGGGGTTTATTTTGTGGTCCTAAAAAGATAGCAATTTTTGCATATCAAAGACACTCCTACTTATTCTTTTCCTCCATAATAAAGTGTCTTTAACAAATTAGGGGTCCACAAAGTGTTTGTTGACCAAATATCTGAATGCATGATGGATGATGGTTGTATCTGGAGAAAGAAGTCCTTCAGAGGAAAAAGATGAGTAGGATATTAAAATATAGCTGTCATGCTTTATTTGACCACCAGGTGTCACAAGTATACCAAGGTTCAAATATCTTTTGAATTTAAGATATAATTTGTTTAAAATTCCATTAAGTGAGAAATTTTTCTAAGGGTGAGAAGAACCAACAACATCCTGTGTGACTTCAGGAGCAAAATCCTTTAGAGGATTTAGGAAATGTGGTTTATTTATTTTTTTTGTTCAGGCTCCATCCTTCCCCATATAGGTCTCTTAAGATAGTTTAGTTTCTAAATGCATTTTAGATTTTAAAAATATTAGAACTGTTAGAGGCCATCACAATCTTCTGAGTCAGTTACTTTTCATATAAGGAATCCTGCTTAAAAATCTTAGATTATTCTGTTTTTAAAATGTTATTTTTTTGTTCAAACAATAAAAAGAATTTTATATTCTATAACCAAAATAAGCAACAAAAAAAAACGTAAACATGGTATCATTTGAAAAGTCACGATACATTTTTGCATAGAAACACATGAAAAAATATGAATTTTCCAATGATCACATATACATACACACACACACACAAACACACACATACACACACACATATATACACCAGAATTTTCATTGCTAAGATTTTGGTGTATAACCTTCCAAACCTATTTTGATCTATACATATAGATCTATAAATGAATACATATATGGCTATTTTGACTGATTTTGACTAGTATGCACATTCCCTTTTATATCACTGTTTTTATTCACTAAATTATTATTATTATGTATATACTTCAATGTCAAGAGACATCTAAATAATCATTCTAATGGATACTTAGAATTTCAATAAAATTATATACTATCATTTATTTAACTAATGGACAATGAGGCAGATTTTCATTTTTAACTTGCTTTAATACACACTCTATACATGCTATCTTAGTACATTTGAGCAATTATTACTTGGATAAGTTCTAAAAAGTGAAATTTCTAGGCTTTTGATGAGTAATGCCACATTATCCTCCAAGAAGCCATTCTATATGAAATTCCAAAATAAATGCTCTTTCCCATAACATCGCAACATCAAATCTATTGGTTTTTCCAAATATATCAACTATCAAATTCTGTTTAGCTGGAGGAAGAAGTATGGTATTGAGAATTATGACTCACCTTTATTTTCACTATAAATGGCAAGTGACAGATTGTGTATATTTTACAGAATATGCATGTGTACATTATATATATATATAAATATGTTCATTGAAGAATTTTTGCATGTGTACATTATATATATATAAATATGTTCATTGAAGAATTATTAATCTAGCTAATTAACATGTCTATCATCTCACATACTTAAAAATATTTGTGAGAAGAATATTTAAAATCTACTGTCTTAGAAATTTTGAAGTATACTATACATTAGTATTAATTATATCATCTTGCTGTATAATACATTTGCGGAAGTTATGACATTCTTATTCTTTAAGGCCCAGCTCAGTAGCAACTTCCTTTACCTTGTCACAAAACACAAACAGAGCTAATAATTTTTACATTAAACTATAGCTTTCTACCTTGAGTATGCCTCAAAATTATCTGAAAAACTATCCTACATACAATTTTGGATTTAGTAGGGCTGGGATGGAGTCTAAGAACTTGCATTTCTAATAAGTTCCCAAAGGCCACATTTTTAAAATCATTGCCTCTTACACACTGTGTATACCAGTAAGAATTCTATTTCATCTGAGTCACCAGTATATTAGCTCTTCACAGATACTGTGAATCATTTGATTTTTTAGAATTATTTGTCTATTCATTTATTTAATTCCATTTGTTACTATTTTTTAACTTGACCAGAGAGACAGACAGAGAGAGAAAGGGAAAGTGACAAAGCAAGCCAAATTTTTATTTTTCTGAGAGGTTTTTGCCTTAGGGCACATGCGCTTGCCTGAGAGACAGTGAGATGAAAAGTGAGAAATCACCCCTGAGGGAGGATGGCCAAGCCACAATCCATTCTCCTCCAGGGATCTAGGACACACAAGGTCCAAAACTCAAAATGCAGTCAGCTATGTGGGAATTCAGCACCCTTAACCACCAGGCCAGCTGCCGGCCCTGAATCATTTAATTCTTAAAAATTAGTATTTTCTTTTCTTCTTTGGACACGAAAAAGTTCACAG